GATTTTTAACTTTCCTAATACAGGTAAAATTATAAGTTAAGAAATTTTACATTGATGTAAGTTTTAATAAGAGACCTACTTAGTACTTAGTCATGGAGGATGTACCATCATTTACATATTTGTAGCGTTAAAAGTGCTATTTTTATGCAACTTTAAACATCAAATTTACGTAACCCTATTCGTTAGTCCATAGTTTACACCCACTTTGATAATTTTTTATTTCCCGAGCGTAATCGAACGAAGTGTTGTAATGGAGTCCACTGGACGACTTGTCACTCTCATGTTTTCTAGTACTAAAAATGTGGTCCTTGTTTTATGTTTGTCTGTCGTGTGTATGTCGTCTAAACTACTGCACTGGTTGTTGTCATATTTTGTATATATGTATTAGGAAGATCATGTAGCTGGCAAAACGTTAACCAAAATTTGGCTAATCATCCCCACCAAGAAATTGATGACGTCATTTCAAAAAATTCTATATTAAAATGATTTAAATGTTATACACTAATATACTTCTATACTTGCGGTGTACTAATCTGCGTTGAGTTTTTTCCTAGTCTTCTAAATTTTTGCAAAAAAGATCCAAATTGTATGATCATCCTTTATATGTACTGCTACAGGCGTCAGTACATTATGTGCTGTGGTTGCCTTTTTTGTTATCTTAAACTGTCAATTATTATCTATATTTTTTATTGATTGAATTAAGAATGGTTTACCCTATTTTTTTATTGATCAAATCTCAAGAACGGACACTGGAGTGTTTTATTATTAGCACGTCTCAGAATTGACATACGTGTTTTTGCTGAAATAATGTTGATGGGGAACATTTTTAAATACAGGCCCTTTATCAATGCATCCATAACTGTTTTAAAGCTATTATTAAAACGTTTCCCCGGGCGGGCTTTGTTCTATGAGCAGATGTCCAATGAATGTGCCCTGTATTAATATTTATATTGTTTCTGATAAATACATTTCTGGGAAATAAGATGTTACAACATTTTAAAATAAATGTGAAAAATAATAATTGTTATTCTTATCTTGGTTGGTGGGTATTCGATGTGCCCATAATTAAACAGTGCTCTTCAATGCACCACACAAATGCAGATTCGAATCTTGTGTAATGCCGGCTAAACTGATGCCGGTAAATATGTAGGCTATCCGTAATGCACGCATAAGCAATATATTTTAAAACAAGATAAAATTGAGGCCAGCCTCATTTTCCGTATTTGCAACAGTGACAGGCAACGCAGTAACCACTTTTTAATAAAATTTATGAAAAACTTATATATATTAATATTGTTACGTTGAACGGGCGAATAAAATCGACGTGGGTACAACTCAACAATTTATTTCTTAACGACTCGAATTTACACGACTTATTACAGACTAATTATCCACTGACAATGAGTAATCGTCGTACTAGAACCCATAGGCGTCGTACCGGGGCGGCGTATGGGTTTATTTGAAATGAAAAATAAACAACAGAAATTAAGGCAATTTTGGCGAAATTTTTGATATTACAATTAATCAAATAGAATTTAGTTTTTTTTCTAAAAGTAAAAAAATTCCCTGCTATCATTCAAATCAATGATCATTTATGCTTCTAATTACAGACAACCTTTATCAGGGCTTCGATTAAATTTATACGTAATCATTGTTTAAGATATTTAAGTGTTCAAATTCAGGAGTTACTATTTTTATCGTCATGAATAATTAATTAACAGCAATGACGGAAATGAAAGACGCAAAAACTAGTAATCATCTAGATAAAAAAAAAGTAATCGGAAAAAATAGAATTATCATTCTTGATTACTAAAATTTCAAGTATGTTACTTTTTCATTGGTTTCATTCCATTGCAACCTATCTAGCTTATACAAAGCATATTATCACAAATATGTAATTATATACTGAATTAGTTTCCGTGACGTCGCTAATGGAATTTCTGATACTAATAGAATAACTGATTAAACCAACTGATAAGCGTTTGTCAAAAATTGTGGCACCAACTTATATCACACTTGTTTTTCATGAAGACCTCAAAGTTTTCTATTACTTATTACAATATTTTAGTGTTTCTAACAAAATGACAGATGGGGTAATAAAAATTTAAATATGAAGATTTTACCAATGGGTTTGTTTAAATATAGTAGCTGAATCATCTCTGATGGTTCTTAAACATGTTTTTCTATTATTTATTAATCAAAAATATGTACTTACTTAAAACTACAAAACCACCAGATAGATAGAAAATTTGATAGTGTAATATGTCTCTTCAAGACTGATGGTTAGACAACTAATAAAATCATATGAAATGGCTAAACTCCACCTCCCCTTACTTTCGACAGAAAGGAAAAGCGAACGTCAATACCCTTAGGTATTTTTTAATAATTGAAGGTCTTTTAAGATGTCTAGAAGTTCAATATTAATTATTACCTACTCTCGACAAAAAGGAAAGGCGCATCAATACCCTTGATTGATAAATTATTGAAGATTTTGTAAGATGTCTAGAAGCTCATTATTAATTATTAGCTGCTTTAGTTAATTTTAAGTGGACTTTGGTCTTAATGTACCTCTTTTCCAGAGTACATTGTGCAACAATTAGATGATATCACACTATCCTTTTGATACAGAAATTAGGCATTTAGTAGTATATTAAGTACCTAGGGATTAAAAATATTTTTTGTTCCTGAGAGAATGGTTTGCCGAGGGCTTTATAATTCATACTGTAATTTTTCTTGAAAATGTGTGAAGTTTTAGAAGATATGAACAAGCCAAGAAAACAAGAAGCACATGAGAGTTTTTCTACTCATTTTTGACAATTGGGAGAAAAATTTTTAGTCACTAGGTATTAAAAACACCTATTATTTTACAAAAGTCAGGCTTTAAATTTAATAAAAACATGTCGGTATTGGAAAAAAATATCATATTATTGTATATAAGAACTCAGTTGGATAAGACAAAATGTCTTACAATTCGTTATTAATAACTATACGATTAATTTTCTTTTATTTGTGTTTACAAATTGTTTATACAATTTTCTACAGTCTAACAATAAATGACAGACAGCAAGACAAACACTTTCAAGTAAATTAAATTTTAAGTAGTACCTACCGATACGAGAACTTTTCTACAAACAAATTATCGAGTTTATAACAGAAACGAGGTGAAATTTGAGTTAAAAATGCATGTCGACGAAAGGAAAGGAAAAAGGGTAATACGATAGGATAATATTTTAATGACTGATTTTGCTTTTCCACATAATTATGACGAACCCTTTTCATACAATAGCAGTGGACGTCAAATTTACATGTTGTCATGACACCCTAAGGTAAACAACGTTTTTTCCGTTTTAAAAGTCATGGTTCAGCTTAACCCGTGAATTTATCCACACTTTCACTGGATCATATTATTACTTTTATGAAATGCTCTAGGCCATCACCAGTTTAAAAATCAACAGGAAAAAATCGTCTAACAACCTTTGAAATTTACTGTTAAAAAAATCAGAACATGTTTTAAATTCCTGCTCTAGTTACCAATGACGCTTACGTCAACGGTGAAATTGAAACTGCCGACGTAAGGGTCATGGGTAACTAGAGCAAAAATTTAAAGTTTCACCCGATATATTTATGTATATTAATACCCACTAAATATTTTTTTCGATATCTCATTTTTTTACTACAGATAAATATGATTATTAGAAAACAGAAATGAATAATTATTTTGACCTATTTATTGTAATATTAAAAATTCTGCATGATACTAACGGTTTTTCCAAGTACGTTTATTTTTAAATTTTCTTGCTTGTTGATATAAAAATTTTTCTGTACATTACTAATACTGTAGCGGTGTGCAACTCACTATTTACAGACTAATCAACACAAATCTAGGAATTTGAAAATGGTTTTAACTGTTTACCTTTCAAATTCAAATAATTTATAGTACAAAAAGCAAGGAGTTGATTTTAGACAGTTATTTATTTTAAAATTAGCCAGGTGCGTTACCTTGCAGTATTAAATCTAAAAAAGTCACACAAGGCAAACGATAAGGTCTTCAAAGGGGTATCGACTGCCGTGATTACCTGGATAAGCCTTGCGTTAATCTCTTTAATTTAAGGGTTAAGCTCAAAAGCCTCGAGCTTAGATTTATCGCAATAATCAAGTTATACCTACACGCTTGAATTATTCATTAGCATTTTAGAAAATAATAATAAATCAAACCGTCTCGAGCAAAGCGAAGACTTGTTTGTTTAAAATATTTGTTCTGATGATAAGCACTTTGGCAAATTAAGCATCTTCTTGATTTTTGAGTGAAATGAAGGAATGCTTCTAATATAGCAAAATATTATGTTTATTCTACTGTCGACGCGATCATTAATCTTATAAATGAGAATTGGGGGAGTACGGGCAATTTGTTGGTACAGCTTTAATAATGACGCAGTGTTATAAACTTATAAAATTCGTATATGGAGTAGGTGCAGGAAAGAAAGTTGTAGGCCACACTTCTCCCAACTCACAAAGTTTCTAAATAAGGAAGGTTAAATTTATTTGCAAACGGGGACACAACAGTTTACTTCTGGGATTAAGCTACTCCAGAGACTTATTATTATTTCTGTCTTTTCTTTGTGTAAACTTTCAAATTTTAATTGGGCACCTAATTAAACAGGGACTTAATTTCGGCGAAAAACGTAAACCAACTCCGTCATAAGAAATATTGACTTAAAGGCCATATTGTTACGAAAACATCTTCATCGTAAACAGCCGAATTTCTTGGAAGTTTGCTGACTGAAAATTAAACATACAACATATTTGCTCTAAGATTTCTCCGCAGATGAATTATTTATGTTCTGTCGATAATGTACAAGCAAGTTGTAAACTCCTGGTGCTAACTTATTCAAAGAGTAGCTCTGGAATTTCTTAAGATCTGGAGCACGCAGGCGCAGCTGAAGCTGGGTAGTTTTTGGTAAACCGACGCTCGACGTCGAGTTCAGTCCACATCGGCCACGATTCGACGCCACCGGTTTTTCGACGTCAGACAGACGCGCGCTTGATGTTACGAACTTTGTTTCAACTTCCATACTTTCGACAAAAAAGTTTTTTCTCACAGAAACTGGCTTCTTTTGTGCTTTTCCCACAAGTTGCTGTGTGGACGCTTTCTTTTATTTGCAAAGAATGAACTTTTGGTAAGAAACAAAATTATTTCGAGACGCCGAAATTCGAATTCTTGAATAAGTTTTTTCGAAAACACTTGGCACGTTATACGCATTTTTGCCACCTCCTTGTCGGAGAAGCGCCATATGTTCAGTAAAAACAAGCGTCTTATTATTTACGTGAATCACGTCAATTATGTAAATTATCACATACGCAAAGCAAACATTTTGCTTCCGTTTAAGGCTACGATTTGCGTCTGGTGTTAACTACTCGCGTAAAATTTTAATTAAAAAATTACTTGCACTTTGTATGCTTCGCCTCGACTTTTACTCTTTGTCGGCTTCAATCAGACTAAGAAAAGTTAACGTTTAATTCACTCTTTTTTAATAAATTAGGCTTTTCACTTCGCTTTTATAAACCCATTTTGGTGTTCCAAATTTAATTTATTAATTTAGGTCGTGTCCCCTGATAGCTGTTTGAAAGAAAGAATCTGTAAAAACGTCAGGGAAATCGCTCAGTTTCATTTTCACTCTAATCTCTTGTAACGGAAAAGCTTCCATAAAACGTGAAGGTTTTCAGATTTTCCAATCTTTACCAAGAGATTTTTTATCGGTGGAAATGAAAGACTGTTTGGGTGAATTCCATTGAATTCCCAAATACGATGGAATGCACGAGCTTAACAAATCACGATTTAGTGAAATTTTGTTTGTTTAGGTTGGCCATTGTAATCGATAGCACAGTAATTTATTGACTTCTTTGTAATTTTGTTTTACAAAGCAGTTGTTTGAAAGACAGTAATGGCTGTTTCCCCACGCGACATTACTCATAGGCGCGGAAACATTTTTTTAGTTACTGATGTTTATTATTTTGTATATTAGAACAACGATATGGTGTGCGTAAATTTTCAAAGTCATAAAACTGTGTCACAAACATCGACACGTGCAATTTCCAACTTGTACGCAAACGTCTTTAATGCTTGATTATTTATTTGGTTTTTGTCGATTTCTATTTAACATAAAATTTTTGAAAAATGTAAAATAAATGCAATATGGGTGGATCAAAACTAGATTTTTTTTAAGTTTCAATTTAAATATTCATGAACAAATAGAGCAAAATTATTAAAACGGAATAATTTTAATACAGTAGCGCAAATATTCATTACGTTACTATGTTTTACGGATTTCAGGGAAATTAAATGTGTGATTTTTGATATATATTTAAAAAAATAAATGGACAGTTTTAAAGTAAGTTGAAAGTTTTAAATCGGTTGAAATATTTATTATTGTATTTGGACATACTCTGTAAGTCTTCACACTTCAAAGAAAAATTTTTCTAAACATTTATTTAATAAAACACCGATAGTTCGTACTTTATCAACAATTTTTTGCAAGTCCAGTTTCTTAGATAACAAGTGCTATTTTATTATTTTTTTTATAACAATCGCTACCTGTTAAAACAAAAAATGGGGCTATTCATATTATATTCATAAAAAATTAACAAAATTATAGGAATTGTCTTTTATTTATTAAAGAAAAATAATTTAGTTCATTAAAATCGAAACATATTTCTAAAACAGAGAGTTCAGGACGAATGCTTAAGATGACGTCATCAGCTTTCTAAAGAAATTGCATTCAAACATTTTATTAAAGTGAGTGTCTTGTCAAAATAAAAAAAAAGATAGGTTCTAAGACCAATTTATTGGACAAAATTTTTTATATTTTTGGTACAATAGTTCTTATACATAAAAATAAAAAATATAAGTTGGACATGTCACACAAAAGTTTCAAGCGAGATTTTGACGTCATGAGATGTACCGGTTAAAACGCCGCAACCTTGTTTCTTGAGAATGAATAGAATGAAATTCCGTAAACTTCGTTGTTTTAAGCTTGAAGGAGGAAGGTTAATTTACATTGCAAATATGAAGCACATATGACGTCGACGTCACGACCTAGACCTATATTTTAAAACTTGTAATGTATACTTTTTTAACGGATTTTGAGATATGTATGTATGTACCATTAAATTACAATTGCAGTGATACAAAATACTTGAATATCTTGTATTGTACTACTATACTCTTTAATTGTTCACATCAAAATTTTTGGACTACAATAATTTTTTTGCTAGCTATCGAAAATGAAAACGAAACGAAAGCTGAATCGGAAATAGAGACACTACTCCACGGACAGCTCGCAGTCCACATTTAACGCTAGTAGATTTCTTTTTGTGAAGTGTGAAGGACAGTTTGAATATATATCTAAACGACTGATTTTGAAACAAATCTTACTAAATGGTTGTAAAATAAATATCATTGGAAATAGAATAACCACCAAATTGTTGTATACTGTTGTACACCCAATTTAAAAATGTATCAAAATCCGTTAAAACCAATCGTTTCAAGCCAATTTGATATAAAAAAACGAATAAATATTGTAAAATTTTTTTATATATGTATTTTAGAACAACATTGAACCTCACGTCAGTGCTATTCCATATTTTCTTTTCCCTTCCATTATTTGTACTGTTAAACATGAGATTACGTATCAATTTAAAAAAATTAGTCGAAGTTTATTTCGACAGAGCTTCCCTTGTTCCTGAAGTACAGTCCAAAAATTTCCGCTTCTTTGAAAAATTATAAAATTTAATTCTGCGATTTTTGTTTTGTGATAATCTCTATAAAGTAAAAACCAGTGGCATAAATAACACCCCCGCAGTTCAAGGGCGCAGATAAACAACGGAGAAAATGGCTTCTCATTAATAATCACATGCTTAACTTCGAGTGTTTATGTTTATACTTCCAAAGAATTCGATGATTAGCACGTCCAGATGCCAAGCATCAGCGGCTGCATTCATTTGTGTTAAAGGGAAATGAGAGGAGAGGACTAATTAATTAATTAATTAATTAAGCTACAATGAAGCAAAATGATCTGAATATTATTTCCGATGAAGATCTGTTATTATGATAATTATTGATTTATACTATTAAATATAGTCGAGCGCGACATTACTATATTTTTACATTTTTGAGATTTGATAAAAAAAAGATATGCTGTGGGCTCGAATCGCTGACCTTGCATCTATAAACCAGATCTCCGTATTACCTTTACATTATTGTTACTAAAGAACATGAGGGTTTAAACAATGACAATTATAATAATAATAATAAAACAACAGGGCGGATTCATAGAGCACAAGTGTAGGAGTATAGTATTTTATGAAATTAAGTTATATTTATTCTATAAAAGTTTGAGAGGATATCATTGGTGGAGATAATTAGACAAATTTTGATTAGCATCTTACCATCAAAACGATATTTCTAATAAACAAACAAAATTTGACAACTTTCGGTTTCGGGGACTATATGTCTAATAAAAATCCGGACAGATAAATAAATAAATAAATAAATAAATAAATAAATAAATAAATAAATAAATAAATAAATAAATAAATAAATAAATAAATAAATAAATAAATAAATAAATAAATAAATAAATAAATAAAAAAATAAATAATTTGATTGCCCAACAGAAACTTCCAATAACAGGACAATATTAATTAAACATAATGAAAAACTAATAAGAAAAACAAAACAAACCATAAAATGAAATAAGAATAAAACTTTAAACTGTAAACCCTACCACATAAGTGAGCGTTATATAAACTTGTGTAAATAATATGAAACAGACATTTCACAAATTTCAGATTCATATTAAAAATTCACAGATGGCAGACAGACATGTAAACGGAAACGGAAGACCTATTTTTCGTACTTTAGGGGTCATGAAATGTCGAGAAAACATGAAGGTAGCCAGTTGTCCTATGGAAGTAAAAATATAAATTAAACTGTCCCCTGCAAGCTAAAAGCAATGTCGTTTACAAAATTTCAATATTCATATTTGTTTGTAAGATTTAGGACCGCGGAATTTATTTGGAACACTCCGTATACGACTTCTTGAAGTAATAAAAACAAACTAAAAGAAATGGAACCGTTCCTGATTTCATAAATTTTATTCGACAAAATTTTGACCTGACGTCATCAATTTTTTGAGGGGAATAGACAGATATATTTTGATTACTAATTTACCATACTTATAATAACTTTAAAACGTATACAAAATTTCAAAGTATTCAGTTTTGCAATTCTTGATTTAATCAATAAAGTACAATGACTCAGCGATTATTTTTTTTTGAAACACCCTGTATAACCAAATCTAAAAATATTAATGCAGTGATAAATCACAAGTGTAAACTGATCATATTTTGCACATTTAAGACAGGATTTATTCAGCAGTATTTTGAAATGACGTCATCATTTTTTATGGGGGATGACCAAAATTATTTTGATCAAAAAATTTGAACCATTGTATGAATCACTCTATACAAGCAGTTCTAAATAAGGTATCACTCACACAACCATGCACTTTGAAATATGAAAAGAAAACAATGAGTGGTATAAAGGCGTCTCTATTATCGAGGACTCGTTTTTGTATTATTAACGCATTTTTCTAAGAAACCATAAACTCAGAACAAGAAGCGGTGACGACCGACAATCACAATTTAGAATTGTGTCTGCTTGTTTGACAACTTGCCTAATTTTTTGAATGCAAAAAAATATTTCTTTGCATTTTGTAATTACAGAAAAAACAAGATTTTCGTAATACAAAAAAGTAGTCTAAGTTTATTTACACTCCCTGAAGTACACTGCAACAAATCGGTCACAGTGTTCCGTTGCAAAATTAACCCCTTTGACACTGAGTCAGATAGATTGAATAAAAAAATTATATTCATAATAAAGAAAGTCAAGGCGAATTCATAAACCAGACTTACAGGAGTATGTTAATTTATAAAATTTATATAACATGTATTAAGCAAAAATTTGAGATGACATCATTAAATTGTTGGTGGGGGTAATTAGACAAATTTGGTTAGCATTTTACCACCGACACGATATTACCAACAAACATCTACTCGTAAAATATGATAACAATCAATGTGGTTGGTAGTTTCGGAGTTTATCTGCTAATAAAAATCA